AAAAGAGTGTACCCTTGGGGCGCCTGGGTGGCTCAGTCGTTAAGCGTCTGCCTTCGGCTCAGGTCATGATCCCAGGGTCCTGGGATCGAGCCCCGCGTCGGGCTCCCTGCTCGGCGGGGAGCCTGCTTCTCCCTCTGCCACTCCCCCTGCTTGTGTTCCCTCTCTCCGCTATCTCTCTGTGAAATAACTAAAATATTAAAAAAAAAAAGAGTGTACCCTTATACTCACTAAAAGGTTTGTGTGCACACAGACCTTCATGTTACTAAGGGAGCCAACAGGTCTCTGAACCTACGCCGGCACCTTCCACCGGCAAAGGAGAGGACCCTCCACCAGGAGGGACGACAACAGCCACGAAGGCCCCTCCATGGAGCCAGAAGTCATCCAGGGAAGGCTAGATCACTGAACCGTAGTCCGAGGAAAAGTAGGAAGATAAGAAGGAGTGAGGTTTGCAATGAGAACTCTCCCTCGCTGGGAAGAGAGGGCCTTCTCACCCAGTGCCTGAGTTTGAAGCCAAGAACTCAAGTAGGAAATACTCACGCCTCCATCGACAGCCTCAGGGCATGAGCATCATCCAGTGTCCCAACTCCTGGGCCACGGAGAAGGGCACTGTCAACAATGTTTCTTCTTTTTAAATTAACTCTTTCCTGAATACATTACATATTCATATTGAATTTAAAAATGCTTATTAAGCCCACTGCTTTAGGTATTAAGGAAATGGCGGTGAACAAGATTGCCAAGTCCCTGATTTCGTGACAATCCCCTTACCTTCCAGTGGGTAAAAGCCAGATAAATTAGTCTAGTAATATACAAGCAATAAAGAAAAAGTATCTGGTATTGAGAAGTGCTAAGCAGAGAATGAAAATCCAGTCATGTGCAGGCAGGGGCGGATGGTGCCGTGTTGGGTTGGGTGGACAAAGAAGGCCTCTGGGAGGGCAGCGTTTGGCTGAGATCTGAATGAGAGGAAGGAGCCAGCCCTGTGAGGATGGTGGAAGAGCATTCCAGGCCCTGGGGATGACAGCTACACTGGAGAGTTGTGGGCAAGGCAGAAGTGATGGGAACCACGATCAGAGAGGCATAGGCAGCCAGGTCACAGGAGGCTTTTTTGTCCAGGAAAGGGGTCCAGGGTTTATGTCTGTGAGGTGGGAACGTTAGGGTAGAAGCAGAGGAGGGGCCTGACTTTATTTACCCGCTTAAAGGCCAGTGGGGGGTGTGCTGTAGTGGGCAAGGTGAGTGCCTGGAGACCCAGTCGGAGGACGTTTGAGTCATCCAGGCAAGAGATGATGGGGGCCTGGTCTAGTGGTGAGCGTGGAGATAGAGAGGAGTGGACAGACTTGGTATAGTTTTGGAGACAGAGTCACCGGGATTCCAGATGAATGAGACATGGAAGCAGGGGAAGGAGGAGTCACGAGTGACTCTCAGATTTGGCTCTAGAGCTGGGCAGGCAGGTGCAGTGCTGTGAGGTGGAGAAGCCATGGGAGGGAGGAGAACTGAGGTGGGGCAGGGTATCAGGAGCTGTGTTTTGGTCGCATTACATCGGAGACGTTTAATAGACATCCAAGTGGAGATGTCAAGCCTAGGGAGAGGTAAGGGTTATAAATTTAGATCTGGGAGTTGCCAGCACATAGAGAGACTCAAAGCCACGGACGAGTACGCTTGCCTAAAGAGCACATGCTGATAGAGGGGAGATCTCAGAACCAAGTTTTGGGTTTCCGACATTTAGGGGTCAGAGAATGGAAGAAACAACCAGACAAGACTAAGAATGTGACCTCCAGTGGCCAGTGAAGGAGGAGATGGAGCGCGGATGGTGACCCGGGGGCCAGCGGGTTGTGTGTTACAGCAAAGGAAGGAGAGATTTCGAGAAGGAGGGAGTGGTCAGCTGTCGGACTGGGTCTGAGGTGGAGAAAGATGGGGACAGAGAAGTGAAGGTGTGTGTCAGCATGGAGGGCATTGGCGACCTTACCAAATGCCATCTCTGTACCTTGGTGGCGACAGGAATCCCGCTGGGGCTGGCTGAGTGGACAGTGTGCATCTAGCAGTGGGGGGGTGGGGGGACCGGCCTCGCGGATAACCTGCTGGCTGAGTGGACAGTGTGCATCTAGCTGTGGGGCGGGGGGACCAGCCTCGCGGACAACCTGCTGGCTGAGTGGACAGTGTGCATCTAGATGTTGGGGGGGGGACCGGCCTCGCGGACAACCTGCTGGCTCATTGGACAGTGTGCATCTAGCTGTGGGGGGGTGGGGGAACCAGCCTCGCGGACAGCCTGCTGGCTGAGTGGACAGTGTGCATCTAGCTGTTGGGGGGTGCGGACCGGCCTCGCGGACAACCTGCTGGCTCAGTGGACAGTGGGCATCTAGCTTTGGGTGGTGGGGAGGACCGGCCTCACGGACAACCTGCTGGCTGAGTGCACAGTGTGCATCTAGCTGTTGGCCAGGGGGGACCGGCCTCGCAGACAACCTGCTGGCTCAGTGGACAGTGGGCATCTAGCTGTGGGTGGGGGGGGAGGACCGGCCTCGCAGACAAGCTGCTGGCTCAGTGGACAGTGTGCATCTAGCTGTTGGGGGGTGTGGACCGGCCTCGCGGACAACCTGCTGGCTGAGTGGACAGTGTGCATCTAGCTGTTGGCCGGGGGGGACCGGCCTCGCAGACAAGCTGCTGGCTCAGTGGACAGTGGGCATCTAGCTGTGGCGGGGGGGGAGGACCGGCCTCGCGGACAACCTGCTGGCTGAGTGCACAGTGTGCATGTA